CGAGGTTTTGCAAGGCTGCCGTCGGTTGCCACCTCGTTGCCGCCCACCGCGTTGAGGTGGTCCACCGAGGTTTCGCCACGTTGCCGCCCGTTGCCGCATCGTTGCCGCCCACCGCGCTTGGGGGGTTCCGCCGAAATTTTGCCACGATGCTGCTCATTGCCGTCCACCGCGTTTGGGGGTTCCGCTGAGGCTTCGCCATGTTGCCGCCCGTTGCCGCCTAGTTGACGCCCACCGCGTTGAGGGGGTCCGCCAAAATTTCGCCACGTTGCCGCCCGTTGCCGCCTCGCCGCGCCCACCGCGCTTTGCAGTTGCCCTGGGATTCCGCCTCGTTGCCGCCCGTGGCAGCCCACCGCGCTTGGAAGGTCCGCTGAGGTTTCGCCACGTTGCCGCCTGTTGCCGCCTTGTTGCCGCCCACCGCGTTTGGGTTGTCCGCCGAGGTTTCGCCTCTTGTCCTCCCGTTGTCGCCTCGTTGCCGCTCACCGCGCTGTGGGGGTCCGCCGAGGTTTGGCCACGTTGCAGCCCGGTGCCGCCTCGTTGCCGCCCACCGTGCTTGGGGGGGCCGCCGAGGTTTTCCCACGTTGCTGGCCCGGTGCCGCCTCGTTGCCACTCACGGCGCTTGGGGAGTCCGCCGAGGTTTCTCCACTGCCGCCTCGCAGCCGCCCACCGCGCTGGGGAGGGTCTGCCGAAGTTTCGCCCAATCGCCGCCCGCTGCCGCCTCGTTGCCGCCCACCGCGTTCAGGAACACCGTCAAGGTTTTGCCATGTTGCCGACCATTGCCGATCGTTGCCGACTCCTCGCCGCCCACCGCGTTTGGGGGTCCGCACAGAGGTTTCGCCACGATGACGCCCGTTGCCGCCTCGGTGCCGTCCACCGCGTTTGGGGGGCCTTCCGAGGATCCGCTGCACTGCAGCCCGTGGCCGCCTCGTTGCCGCCGATCGCGCCATTGCTGTCTCGCTGCGCCCCGAAAGGCTGCCATCGCTCAAGCGCGCACCTTCTACCTCCGCCGACTTCCGCCGGCCTTCCGCCAGCGGACCCGCCGCCGTTTTACTGTGGAGGCCAGTCCACGAGAAACCTTCCACAAGAAACCCAGCCCTGAGACCCCAGGTGAGCGTTTCTTTTAATTTGGCGTTTCGACACTGGGCGGCAAGGGGGGAGGAAGGGGGGGGTTTGGCTCCGGACCTCTGGTTAGCGCGACTGTTTGCAAGAGTGCGGCCTCTGGGAGAGACTCCACCCGCTCGAAACAGGCGCCAAAAACAGCCAAGAGCTACTCCATGGAGGAGAGGGGGGGGTTGGGGGGCCCGTTCCGATCGGCAAGACAATGAATCAAAAAAAAACTATTACCAGAACGTCCATAGATTTGTGGTGTGGGAACGTCACGCTTTCCACAGCAAAACCCTCGAAACCCAAGAAGCTCAGGGCACACTGGAGGCCAGCCAGGGGGTTTATTGGCATGGGCCTCCAGCGTACTCCGCCTTCCGCCGACCCTCCGCCCAGGAAAAAAAATGCCGACCCCTTCGATCCTCGCAGGCCGAAGGCGAAGGACTCTCTGGAGCGCCCCATTTCTCGAACAGGTCCTCGACTCGGATCATTCATCGGGCAAACTCGTCCTCGGCTTGCTCGGGACGAGACCCCACAACGAACCGGACGGATGGCATCGCGCACGCCCAGGAGCCAGCGGAGAGTCGAAGGGCCACAAGTTTCGTTTCGTGACGCCGCACGGCCACCGCCAGGGGCTGACTAATGCGAATGGCATGGTCCGTTTCGACGTCTTTGCTGCGAGAAGGAGGCGTTTTGTTTCCTCCCCTGCTGGTTGGGGACTGCGGCCCAAAATTGCAGCGCGGCTCCACGCGTGTTGCTGAGTACGTCATCGTACCAAGAGCCGGCGGCGCGCAGAGAGGGGCAGGGCAAGCTAGGTGCGCTCGCGTCATATCTGTCGTCATGAGTCATAACCCTCCTTCCCAACCCTTCCAATGGCGCAACTCTCCCCTTTATGCGCACAGCGCTCGCGTCATATCTGTCGTCATGAGTCATAACCCTCCTTCCCAACCCTTCCAATGGCGCAACTCTCCCCTTTATGCGCACAGTCTGATGTCGAGGCATTGAGTAGAGAAGCATTGCATCACAAAGCAGCGCAACGCAAAGAGTGTGTACAATTTGGGCCAATTTGGAATGACTGGAAACGCCTGCGCTGCAGCGGCAGCACGATTTTGAACGACCAGAGGCGCAGAAATGGGACCACAGGCGCACGATTCGGAACGAGCGGGGGAGCGGAAATGAGGACGCGTAGCCCGGGCTTCTGCGGCCCAAAAAAATCAACGCATCGACACCGAATGCGCATTCACTCACAATGGTTCTTTCGGGGGGCCATTTTCTAGATTTGGGGGCCTATTTAGAAGGACCGAAAACCATACCGTGGCATGTCGCTGGCATTAATGACGCCAGCGCTGCAGTGGGAGCACGATTCGTAACGAGCGGAAGCGCAGAAATGAGGGCATGTCTGCGGCCCCAAGAATCAAAGAATTAGCACCGATTGTGTAATCACTTCCAATGGAGCTTTCGGGTGACCATTTTTAAAATTTTGGGGCCGATTTGGAAGAACCGAAAACCATGCCGTGGCATGGCGCTGGAAAAGATGACGCCAGCGCTGCAGCGGGAGCACGATTCGGAACGAGCAGAAGCGCGGAAATGAGACCAGCGCTGCAGCGGGAGCACGATTCAGAACGAGCGGTAGCCCGAAAATGAGGCCAGTGCTTCAGCGAGAGCAGCATTTGGAAACACATCCAAGCGAAAACCCGTTCCCCGGGAATCCTGTGTAAAAAACAGTGCGCGGAGGGGGGCTAGATATCACCGGGGCAGAGAGGAGAGTAGTATGGGCATCGTTTAATCCACCACTATCCCCATGAACGTGGCCTGGGCCCCAATGGCCGATTGACACCCTAGATGGGGATATAGGCCGTTCTCTCCAGGTTTCGAGGTGTGTGTCCTCAACTGGGGTGCAGGGATGCTTGGGGTCTGAATGGGGATGGGTGATGGGGATCGGTAAAACGATACCGATAGTATTCATATTGTGTAACTGTGGAGGGGGGAAGGCTTCTTAGAAGGAGGCTGCTTCTTAGAAGGCGCGGGCGTTCCATCTATAGAGAAGGCCAGCGCCTTTTAAGAAACAGGGGTACTTCTAAAAGAAGCCTTCCCCCCCTTCCCCTGATCCACCCCTGCGCGCGGTTGGAAGAGAGGGCGCCCCTAGGAGCGAGCGCCATCCGAGACCCAGGATGGACCTCAAAAGGCGCACGCCCCTACCCTGCGGGGACCGGCCGGCCCGGAAAGCCCGCAGACCAGAGAACCAGACTCGACACCCTACGAGGGGGGAGGGGGAGGAGGGGCGATTTGATGGTACCGAGACGCACGGCAATAGCAAGCGCCGGATGTCGGAACACGCCAGCCCGACACAGTCGCCCACAGGACGGCAATGCTCGTCCTCGGCATCTGCGCAGGAGGGGGCATCTGCGCTACATTGGCCCTTGGGCAACGATGCCACTACCCTGACGGAGTCTTCGCCATGGAGCAGTCTCCACTAGAGCACGACGAATTGAGATAGCGTGAAGTGGTTGCGGGCACGCGGAGGCAGACTCTGGTGAGAACGACGGGGCAGCCTGTGACAAGCTGGTTCAAACATCTGACGAGAGCTGGGCTGGCAGTCTGGCCCGAGTCACACTGGACAAGCAGACACCACGCTTCTCTGAGCTTGCAAACTCGTGCCTTTCCCTCTGCAGCTCTCGAGTGAAGACTCCAAGTTCTAACAACGCGTAGCGAAGTGCACCGGGTGTTGCTAGAAGTGCCCCTGGCCCAAGGTACCCCCAGGATTTCCAAGGAAGCCCCCAAGGCCTCCAGAGCACCCCTCACGAGGCCCAGAAGGCCCCAGGAGCTCCAAAATCGATGGAAAAGCTGGGGGCACCTTGGGCCAGGGGCACCTTTAGCAACCCCCGAGTGCAGAGAAACCTGCCATGGGCCACGCCGCATTTGCGTAGCTCGCCGAGCCTGCGACTCCCTGTCGTATCTCACAAGAGCGTGCTCGTGGTAACACGAGAGCCCCGTGCAGCACGGCGTGGGCCGAGGCAAAACGGAACGGAACATGGGCCCAACGCTGCCTTCTAAAATCTGTATATCTGCTGTTCGCCGCCGTCATGTGCGAGGGAGGCCACGAAGAAGGATAAGCAAATAGAAGGAGGTGTCTGTGTACAGTCGGCCCGTACCATAAGGATGCGCAATAAGGATGCGAAGGCCTTGGACGCCCGTCTCGAAGCTTTTTGAGAGGGGCGCGGCCAGCGAAAGCGGTCGAGGATGGGCCGAGGAGGCAAGGATGCAAGCGTACCCTTGGGAAGGTTGCCCAACCTTACTATGCGGATCGATTATAATGGGCGAGGGAGGCATGAAGAAGGAGAAACAACGAGAAGGAGGTGTCTGTGTAAAGTGCGCGTCTTTTGCCGCGGGGCGGGTTCCGACTGATCTCCGGGCTTTTCTCCGGAACCTCCCGGAGAAGTGCCTGGATATACGGACGGTCGCGCGCACGACTGCCCTGGGGTCATGGGTGCGCGACTGCCACCGTCACTTGGAGTCCGCGAGAATGCCGCGCAACCCGCTGCCGAACTTAGTATGTGTCTGGTAAAAGGGGGAGGAACACTCCAGGCTCAAACCCCTTTAGGGCGAACCGACAATAAGCGCTTAGAAAACCAGTAGTTTGCGCAAGAACATCTCAGCGGCAAGCCCAGGAGGGAAGTGAGAGGGGGCGGGCCGTCTAAATGGCGGCGGGGCTTCTCAGAAGCCCTCGCACCTTCTGAGAAGCCGCCTGTGGCCTCGGAGAGAAGGTTCTACAAGCGAGGGCTTCCGAGAAGCCCCACTGCCTTCTGAGAGGGCCCGCCCCATCTCACTTCCCCCCTGGGCTCGCCGCCGAAAAGGGGCTCTCTCTCTGTCTCTCTCTCTCTCTCTCTCTCTCTCTCTCTCTTCTCCGCGAACGCCAAGTCTGGTCAGGCACAACCGGCAGCCGCCGATGCGGCAAGGTCCCCTGAAGCGCAGCAGCCAGCGCTGCTGCTCTGCGGGCTGCCGCACACCCCGTGAGCAGCGCGCCCCTGCTACGCGCCGCCCCTGCGCAACATCTCCCACCCCTCCTCCTCCACGTCCTCCCTCCTCCTCCTCCTCGTCCTCCTCCTCCTCCTCCTCCTCCTCCTCCTCCTCCCCCTCTTTCTCCTCCTCCTCCTCCTCCACCTGCAGATACCCGTGAGTGCGCATGTGGCCCAAGGTCGTTTGGAGCGATGGCGCACCAACCAGCGCATCGATGGCGTGCCCCCCGCCTCCTCCCCTCCTCCTCTCCTCTCCTCCTCCTCCTCCTCCTCCCCCCCGTGCCTCTCCTCCTCCCTCCCCCTCTCCTGCCTCCTCCTCTCCTCCCCTCCTCCTCCTCCTCCCCTCCTCCCCTCTCCTCCCCACTCGTCCTCCTCCTCCTACTCCTCCTCCTTCTTTTGCCCGCCTCCCCCCCTCCTACATGATCCACTGCAATGACTCCTTGTTCATGTATGTTTGTTATTGTGCGTGAGCTTATGAAAGTTTATGCATCTACATGCATATATAAATATACTTAGATGCATTCGCACACGCACCTCTCCGAAGGAGTAGAGCTCCGAAACGATGTACAGAAACAATCCCGTCCCGTCCGCGATAGTTCTGGTCGTGTCGCTCGGGATATCCTCAAAAGTCTGACGCACATCGTGACGTCAGGGTCCCAAAGACACATCCATTGTCAACTGCGTTAACATAGAACCTTCAACCACACAATGGAGTTCAATGATGTTGAACCCGATCCTTCAAACATTGAAGCTTCGCCTGAGAAATCATCCAAGACATAAGACCCGTCTCAACACGAGTCTTAGAAACATGCCGTTTAGAGTGAGACATGCTCCCAACATCGAACCCCGACGGGCAGCACACGCACACATCATACACACACGCACCACGCACACCACACTACACACAACACATACTTGTTCGGCGCCGCGGCCTCGCACGCAGCGGCGAGGCGTAGAACAACAACATCACTCCGACGGAGGGATCCTGCATGATAATCTTGTTGATATGAAATAAAGTAAACTCACCCTCACCGACTACTTACGATGGTGATGATGCCAAGCGCGCCGTGTGGGAACTGTGGGGCCCGTGGTAACTGCGCGACCTGCGAAGCTTGTTGGACTTGCGGGCTCCATAGGGAAGGGGCTCCCACTCGAGACCCTCCTCGCGATGCACTCACAAACAAGGCCTCCGCTCGAGACATCCTCACGGCTTGCGCCACTGGGGTGCTCCAAAGCGATACCTACTACAATACGCCTGCGTCACGCTCGGAATAGAAACATACCCTGCGCGCCCGATACGGAGGGGGGGCTACCGCCTGCGACTTCCCCACAATTCACTCACGGACGAGGCCACCGCTCGCGACATCCTCACGATGTGCCCCCTTGGGGTGCTCAAGCGCGGTGCCTGCTACAATGCGCCGATGGCCCACTCGATGTACTAACATGATCTGCTGGCCCCATCGGGAAGGGCCTCCCGCCTTAGACGTCCTCGCAACTCACTCACAAACCCAGCCCCCGCCCGAGACACCCTCACGAGTTGCCCGCTCGGGGGCTTAAGGGTATGACCGCTGCAATGCGCCGATGACCCGCTCGAATTACTAACATGATCTGTGGGCCCGATATGGAGGAGGGATCCCGCCTAAGACTTCCTCGCAGTGCACTCACAGACGAGGCACCCGCCCAAGATATCCGCACGAGTTGAATCCTTGGGGTGACCAAGTGCTATGCCTGCTACACTACAGCAAGGGCGCGCCCGGATTACTGGCATGATCTGCTGACCCCACGGGGAGGGGGGATCCCGCCTGAGACTTCCTAGCAATTCACTCATAGACGAGGCCACCGATCGGGACATCCTCACGATGTGCCCCCTTGGGTTTCTCAAGTGTATGCCTGGTAGTGTACGCAGATGTCCCGCTCGGATAATTAACATGAGATTCTGGCCCCATAGGGAGGGGGCTCCCGCCTGAGACTTCCTCGCAATTCATTCACAGAGGAGGCCCCCGATAGACACATCCGCATGATGTTCCCCCTTGGGGCGCTCCAGTGCTATGCCTGCTACAATACGCTAGTGCCCCCCTCGGATTACCAACGTGGTCTGCGGGCCGACAATAATAGCCTGATGAAGAGGACGAGGATGATGAGGAAGAGGAATATGATGATGATGATGATGATGATGATGGTGATGATGAAGATGAGGATGGAAATGATGGGAATGATGATGATGATGATGTTGATGGTGATGCTGATGATGATGAGGATGATGATGATTTTGATGATGATGATCGGAGGTCATGTTGGGTTGGTGGTAAAAACTATAGGAGTGGTGTGCGATGGTGATGGTGATGTCGAGTGTGATCATGGCGATGGTTAGCTATGGGCGAGAATGATGAGAATCTTAGATGATGCTGGGGGTGATTGTAATTAAGCAGAAGAGTGCTGTGCGATCATGATGGTGATGTCGAGTGTGATGATGGGGAAGGTGGTTCATGAGCGACGATGGTGATGATAATGATGATGATTTGGTGATGATGATGCTGATGATGATGCTGATGATGATGATGATGGGGTGATGATCAGGATGATGATGATGTGGGGGTGTTCCTGTTCCGGCGCGGGGGAGGCCAGGTAAAACATGACCCGCTCGGAACACTAACATGATCTGCGGACCCCATAGGTAGGGCGCTCCCGTCTCTGATTTCCTCGCGATGCACACACAAACGAAGCCCCCATCTCGAGACATCCTCACGATGATGTGCCCCCTTGGGGTGCTCAAGCGCGATGCCTGCTGCAATACGCCGATTGTCCGCTCGAGATACTAATATGATCTGCTGGCCCCATAGGCTCCCGCCTTAGACGTCCTTGCAATTCACTCACAGACGAGAGCCCCCGGCTCGAGACTTCCCACACATGCAGGACTGAGGAGCCCAAAAGTGACGACAGTTACAGACTTGAGGATGCCCCCCCATCGGATTAAAACATGATGTGAAAATGACGACAAATATAAGGTTGAGCATGAACCCCTCGGATGAAAAACGCAAGGTGCGGGCCCCTTAGGGGGGGGCTCCCGCCTGAAACTTCCTCGCAGCTCACTCACAGACGAGGCTCCCGTTCGAGACTTCCTCAACATGATTGTCACTGTGTGTGAGTGTGTGAGTGAGTGAATGAGTGTGCTTGCAAAGGTAATGATTATGCTGATGATGATGATGAGTATGACGGGGATGATGGTGATGATGATGGTGGTGATGAATTTGACGATCGATGGCTGATGATCATCATGAGATGGTGTTTTCCCAATCATGCCACTCAATCGTGGGTACTCCGAAGCATCGACGTGAACTGACAACGCGCAACCAACCATCACATGCCGTGACAGACCGATCGAGATCAGGGTACAGGTGGCGCCGCACAAACGAAGAGCCAAGCTACCAAGTATAGCGTCATGCACTGGTAACCCCCGGAAGGACGCATGTGGCAAGAGAACAAACCACTTACACTTTTCGAATGGAACGCACAGAAAGCACTGCGAAGAAACGGTAACGAAACACCAATAAGCCGTCAGAAACACGGGTCCACGAGCGCGCTGACAATGGGAACACAACTTGGATTGAGAAAACTATGCCAAACAAATGCTGCATTTGGCCGTGCATTCATTATAACCTGTCTAGTTGTACGGAATGCCGGAACCCCATAGAGGATGCCAACTTGCACTCAAAACTAAGGCAGCCAAACTTGTCTGCAGACGCAGACAATGAATTCAAAACTAAAGCATCAAAACCAACCGACTTCCATCCTCAAAAACGCCAGGATGTTGAACGGACCAAAAAAACACAACAAAATCATCAACATAGAGAGCATGTTTCAACCTCAGATCAATGTCCGTGTTGTTGGTTCCCCGATTGTCCGTTTCCGTGTTGGTGCCAAATACGTAAAAAGAAACAGCAATTTGACCCAACGCTCCAAAAACACACTTCGCTTGCGCATTGAATCTGAGAGCCATAATCCCGAAGACATGCTCCACACACCATCCAATAAAGCATTGAGAATCATCGCCAACGTACGGTCATTCAGTGTGTGCACGGTGAGTGGGGTAGCTAAATTCCTGCTGCAGCAGCCAGCCTGAGCCAATTGATGTAAGCCCAAAGGGCTGTAAGATGATGGCGGTGGTGGCGCGATGATGGTAGGTATGATGAAGGTGATGGTGGCCATGATAAGTGTGAACGCAGAACAAGATGAAAGGAGGGTGTGGGAAGACTGCGCGTGGTGCACAGAAACACAAAAAACTGTAGCAAGTGGGGAACAACACACATAACAAGCACACACAACAAAGCAACACTTACAGCATACAGACCACACACACAGACGCGCACGTACACATCACACACACACATGCACCCCACACACAGATCACACAACACAAAGACCGCATACATACACAACGTATACACCACACATTGAACACCACACATTGAATACACCTAACACACATGCTCGCACATTGCACGCGCAACACACGACCCACAACATACGCGCACGCGCACACACACACAAACACGTCACACTTCAAACACACACACACACACGCACACATTCTGCACACGTGTGTGTGAGGCTGGGCGCGCACGTGCCATGTGTGTGTGAATAGATGTCTATGTATTTAGCTATATATGTATGCACATATATACATACATATGTATATAATCATATTCCTATGTATATATCTATGTATAAATATAAATATAGATGCTCGCCCCCCACCCCAAGCACCCCCAACCAGTGGAGTGAGAGGGTGGAGGGGTGGTCCCCCCCTCAGCGTCCTTCTTTTCTTCCTCCTGCTCCTCTTCATCCTCATGGTTCCTCCTCCCCCTCATGGATCTATATATAAGGATATATGTGCATATGTATATATATACACATATTCTCATACGCACCTCTCCGAGGGAGTAGAGCTCAGAGGGGATTAATGCGTCCGTGCGTCCGTGCGTGCGTGCGTCTTCGATTTTCCCGGCCGTTTCGCTCGGGACATCCTCGAAATTCTGAAAATCGGTGGCACCCCTCACGCAGATCGTGAAGGAGAGGTCCAAAAACACATAGGAATTTCAACATTTTAACATAACACCTTCAAAAACACATGGTAATTTCAATAATTTTGACCCCGATTCTCAGAGAATGGCGGTTTCGCCTGAGACATCCTCCCAAAATCGAGCCCCAGACCCCTCCTCGGAGCCTCCTGGGGGCCTCCTGGAACCTCCTGGGGCCTCCTGGGGCTTTCTGGACCTTCTGGTACCCCAGACCCCGCCTCGGAGCCTCCTGGAGTTCTCCTGGGCCTGCTGAAGCCGCCTGGGGCCTCCTGGGGCCTCCTGTGGCTTCAGAACTACATGCACACACAGAGACACAAATCACGCCCAACACATCACACGCTAGACAAACATAACATACACACACACACCGACAACACAAAAAGCACGCACCACACAAAGCACACATCACACACACAACACTCACAATCCTGGGGCCTCCTGGAGCCTCTTCTGGTATCCAAGTCGGGCCTCCTGAGGCTTCCTGGGGGGCCCTGGTACACACATCGCAAGATGTGGCAACCCCACTTGCGCTCGAGTGCGACTTCGCTGTTGCATGTCACTCCTGCTTCAAACGCCCCTTCAGCTTGTTGTATGAGCCTGGGCACACACGTGCCACTTGTATATATATGTATACATACACATGTATCCGCCACCGTGGTGCCGCTGGGTACGGAGTGGGCGGGTCCTCAGGGCCACTACCTCATCCCCTGAGCCTCAATCCTCGATCCCGAAGGCTCTTAAGGGGCCCAGACCCCGAATTCACAAATCACCTTGGGCTTGGCGCGCTACCCATTCGGTTGATCGCGGCGTCCCGCAGTATTTGTCAGAGCCCCAAAGAATCCCAACAAGGGTCGACAGGGCCCCAAAAGGCCCCGAAGACTGTCCAAGAGGGCACCGAGTCGACGAACGACCGTTCCAAGACGCTCAAGATGGCCTCCAGACGGCCCAAGAGGCCTCCAAATGCCCTAGGGGCTTCCAAGAGGCCTCTCAAGAGGGCTCCAGGAGGCCCAAATCAGTCATTTCCCGTCGGTTGTTGAAGGTTTTCGGCGTTCTCGCCTTTCCTGTTTCCCGACGCTCCCGACGCTCCCAGACGCTCCAAGACTTCCCAAGAGGCCTGCAAAAGGGCTCAAGAGGGCCCCAAGACGGCCTCAAAGGCGCCCAAGACGGCTCCAAGAAGGGAACAAGATGGGGGACCCGAACGGACATGTCAAGCCTTCGACTCCGAGGGGCCTCCAGGAGGCCCCAAGAGGCCCCTAAGAGGCCCCCAAGAGGTCCCCACGAGGCCCCAAGAGGCCCCTAAGAGGCTCCCAAGCGGCCCCCAAGAAGCTCCGAAGAGGCCCCCAAACTGCCCCCAAAAGGCCCCCGAGAGCGCTCCGAAGAGGTACGGGTACATGCCACACATAAAAATACAAACATTGAACAAGTACTCCATATCTCCATCCATACAAACTCACTATCCGCACACCGCCACTTAGCTGGCCAAGAGTACCTGCACCCTGGCCTTTCAATCCTGCCAATCGAACCAATACGAACTCAATGTGAAACTTGTCGAAAAGAGCTGCTTTTGTTATCGACGCTGCCGAATGCCTTGCTGGACCAGGGCGCGGCGCACATCGCTAGAGAAACTGCGAGATGCCTGTCACCTCAGCACCCCGCATCTGTGCCCTGGAACTTGCTCGCCCATTGGGGCGCAGTGCGCGTCTGCCGCTCGCCAAGCCGCCCGTAGCGGGGTCGCGCGCGAGCTGGCGAAGCGTCGCTCTCGCCCCCAGGCGCCGCGCAGAATTTGCCGGAGTGTGCCGCTCCCGCCAGGGCGCGGGCCACGCTCCCCGCCCGCACAAGTGTCAGAAACCGGAGGCTTGCGCGCACGCCAGAGGGCGAGGGTCGTCCGAAAGTTGCGCTGTAACCTCGGCGCGGCGCGTGCTCCACGCAGCGCCCATCGGCGATCTGGCCTCAGGCGCGAGAGAGCTGAACGGTGCTCTCGCCGAGGCGCCGCCCAAAGACCTCCTGAACAGTCCGCGCACGCCTGGGCGTGAACCGTGCTTCTCTTCTGCTGCTTCCTCGGGGGGCCTCGTCTGTCCCGTCGTCGCGGCCCTCTCCGCGTCGAACCCGTGTCGAATCCATGTCGGCCTCGTCGGCTGCGTGTCGGATCCGTAGCGATCCCGCGCCGAATCCACACCAGATCGGCGTCTCGAGTCCGCATCGAGCCAGCGCCGGGCACAGGAGAAGACACTGATTTGGGGGACCGGCGGAGTCTCCCGAAGATGCAACGTGATGAACCGTGTTCGGGGAACCCACAAGGTACCGATACCGCTACTCCCCGCACCTCTCCCGGGGTGCGTTCTGACCAGGACTTCGAGGCGGATCCAGCGGTGGCGACGAGGGCCTCCCAGGAGGCCGAC